ACTACTCACTACTCACTACTCACTACTCACTACTCACTACTCACTACTCACTACTTACTACTTACTACTTACTACTTACTACTTACTACTTACTACTTACTACTACTACTACTACTACTACTAAGAACTCATTGCTTCCTATATGGACTCTGGCCTCATGCTCATCAGCTCATCCCCTCAAAGCCTGGTATCATCCTTCATGGTCCTATGGTCTCATAGCGCATTATTCAGGGGAGGTGGAGTGGACCTCATGAGTGGTATCTCATACCTTCTTGACCTTGTTGACCTACCATGTGGGGGGGGCGGTTTATTAATCAGGAGTCTGCATTATTTGGGTAATGTCTTGTCTTGAAGATCGAGCCATGGCAATCTTACAGAAAAAGGCTGCCGTTTGATTCGTGACTTTGTTCACCAAGTTGAACTCGTTTGCTTCAATGGCACTCCGTCCTGGACGACCAGTTGCAATTCACCTCTGCGTTTGCAGGAATGATGGAAGGTCATCGTTGTCTCACTGCGTATTGGCTTCTCAATTTAAGGCTTCAAGACGCTTTAAGGCTTTGACGGGATCCTTCCTTTCTGAAAGGCGCTTTCACTGACAGCGGCATTCTCTAAGGGCGCGGCGATCAACAAGCTGCGAGCAGCTTTCGCGGAGAGGCAGCAATTTTGTCTCCAGCGCTTCCAAATGTTGAGCCTTCAAGGTTGGGCCAGCGCCGCAGTACTCTTTAAGTCTGTAACTGTAAAACAATGTGAAAGACAATGTGAAAGACTACAAAACAATGTCAAAGCCAACGTCTGGTTTTCAGATTTTGGCACCGAGGATATGTCAGGTACGTGTCAGGGTGTGCTTAACTGGGACGCAGTGATCCTAATCCCATATATACCATGGAAGCGCAAACAACCCCTCAAAGACATTGATCGCACATAGAATTATACTATACAGTAGGGTAACCCTTGGTATGCTTAGGCACTGTATAGCCGCAAATAGCCTTAGCTACTTCGGGTATGCTTACGCAGTTGGCCCGCTAGGGTGTTGCAGGGTGTGTCGCAAGGAAATTGGTAATATTTCACTGTAATTAGGCTTGCTGAATGGGACTTTTTGGTTCCGAGATTGCTTTTCGCCAGGGTCAGGCCCCGACCTATTTCCGACCCATTCCCGACCCTGCTTTGTTTCAACAATGTTCCTGGATTCCTGACCCATTATGTTTTGTTCCAACCATGACTTCACAGGGTCTTTCTTAAGTCCCCGGCCTATTCCCTACCACCTATTCAGTTTGGCGCAGCTTGGGTAATTTCTTGATTTCAGTGGTGTTTTTTTAGGCCTGTGCTGTTGAGAAGGTGGCCACAGCCCATGATTCGGATAAAAAAAGAGAATTGTAAACCCCTTGTTTTGTTGGAATTTTGCATGGCTTACCCCCGGTCATTGAAACCCATCTTGGGTTGATTTTCAAGGCTGTTTACCCCACCTTCTGATCTGCTGGATGCCCGTGACTACCCTGACTAAACCCCTACCTCTAAACACCTGTTAAGCCCTAAGCATACCAAGGGCTACCCAACAATTATATAGTAGGATTACTGAGAAATGGTCCGCGTGCATCGCATGCATCGAAACGAAGCCACAAAGACCCATCGAATTGTCCAAGATCCACGCCATTTGCTTTATAACTGGCTTCGTACGTATTCACTGAGATGCTGGAGATGCAACAATCCCCAATGCTGCAGAAACTTCAGTTTGTATTTGTAGATACTCAAAAAGTCGTAAACGCTAGCCTGTTGTGCGTTTGAAGCATCAGGCATCATGTCCAAAAACGCACACTTAGTCGCAGGTTTATCCAATGTCAAAACCCACAGTGAAATGGATGAAGGAAACGCAAGGTGGAGTGGTCAGCGCAATTGGAATGTTTAACAAGTCGTTCACTTGTCTGCAGAAAGCGGCGGTGGCACAGCTGCTGGACGGCTGAGGGAAATGTTTTGGGATCTATCATGAAATATCCTAGGATCATGCGAGGAGCTTCGTTGGATGGAGCCCCACATCTCCTCTCCATCCCCCTGCTCTGTGGAAAAAGGTGGAAGTAATCCTAGCCGATCATCGGCGCAGCGTGTCGAAAGCGGAGTGCTCTTTTTCTTCTGTTTCAAACCCGTCTGCACTCCGCTGGAGGGTGCCCTTTTTGGTAATAGTCAGATAACGAGCCTTAGAAAAGAAAAGGAATGGGAAAAAATATTTTACTTCGAGTGATCCCCACCATGACATTTCAATCATTTGTCTTGGTGCCATAGTGAGGCGCATGTTGCCACGGTCGTGAGTATTGTAGTTCTCGATTTTGCTTGCGGGTCCTCGGGTTGTGGTTGCTTGCTGCGCGGCGCCAAAAGATGGCTATGGGGGGTCGAGGGGCGAGGTTATCGGCAGGCTTTCGCGAGGAGACATATATGTTTATAGGTAGAGTGGAGAAAGAGTAGCCGGAAGTGGTGAAGTTGATATTGCAGCCACTTGAGCGTGCAAGATGAAGTGATTGGTGAACATCGGGCCAAGCGTATCTTTATGTAGTGAAGTTGATATTGCAGCCACTTGCATAGGGGTAGAAAGAGAATGTCGAATACATAGGTTGGGGGGGCCTTGTTCGTGCTGGTAGAGGGCCGTTTCGGAGGCGAAAAGGGGCGCCCCTGAGGAAGTGAGGGGCGGTTGCCTGCTGCGCGTTGGCAATCTGTGGGCAAACGGGGGGGAGCCCGTGGGCAAAGCTAGCGGCAGGTTTTCGCGAGGATACTTGTCATATGATATGCGTATACAGGGAGAGTGGACAAGGAGTAGGTGGAAGTGGTGAGGTTTGGCAGGGGGCGCACTTTCGTCTTGATGTACAGGCGCTGTGGAGGTGAAAAAGGGTACCCCTGTTTCTCGGGAAGGTTTGAAGTCAGCACAGCTTGAGGGCCAAAATGGGTTGGTTGATCATTCCTGTGGGTTTAATCAAAGCAAGGAAAGTCTTGGATATTAGTCTGTTCTCTCGCATGCCCCCAACAGATGGCATCACGCACCCCATGCGGGGTGCCCTTTTGAGTCCGGGAACTAGACCTTTCCACGGGCAAAAGGGCACCCCTAAGCACCTTCCACCGCAAATGGGGCGCCCTTTTGAGGCCAGCAACTCAACCTTTCAAACATCATCCCCAAGCAACTCAAAACCTTCCGCCTCCAACGCTTGCCCACTGCCATCTGTTCTCTCTCCTGCCATTCCTGCCCTCAACAGATGGCATCATGCACCCCATGTGGAGTGCCGCTTTGAGTCCGGCAACCCGACCAATTCAACGCTTACCCGCTGCAATCTGCTCTCTCGCATGCCCTCAACAGATAGCATCGTGCACCCCATATGAGGTGCCCTTTTGAGTACCACCCCAAGCAACTCAAAACCTTCCGCCAACGCTTGCCCGCTGCAATCTGTTCTCTCTCCTGCCCTCAACAACCCCCCAAGCAACTCAAAACCTTCCCACACCGCTGTGCCTGCCTCATCCATGTGAGCTCCCACCGCATAGGGACTGCCCTCTTCACTCTGGCAACTAAAAAAGGGCGCCCCCAACCAGCGCTAAGGTTCTCTTTCCTGCTCTCAAGTATGGGGTGAGTTCCAACCACTTTTCCCGTCCCCTTCTCTCCCCTTTCCTCTCATCGACGTGAACTCCCACCCCTAGTAAAGACAAGTAACATTGCCTCCTGAGCTCCTCGTGATGCTAATGATGCACATCTCGCATCAATTACATCACTTGCATCACAACACACCAAAATACTACTCATTTTCACTACCTCCTGGCCACCTCTTTTTTTCGCTCTCCTTCACCAGGCTCTGGGTCAGCCTCTCCAAACGTGCCCCTTTACTCACTTCGTTCGCTCAGCTACCTCAAGCCTTGCCTATCGGCTGGCTTTCGTGACATAGAGTTCTGCCATGCTCGTGATAAATATGAAAGGATTTGACCTCAAGCACAAAGTGGTCTACAACTACAACATACATGGCCAATCGACTCAATGAAAAAACTTCCAAGACTTCGCCTCAGCCTGGTCGACCTCCTTGCCAAGCTGCTCTACCTCGCCACACCAAGACGAACAAGGCATGGCTTGACAGTCCCTCCAAACAGAAGCGGATCATTGACCACTCCAGCGTCAGGAATCCGTTCAAGCACGTTCAAGTCACTTCAGGTGACTAAAAATGTTGAGGGCCTCTTTTTCTTCTCGAGCCAACTCTTCCTCGACCTCCAAGAAGAATTCACAAGAACAAAAGCCTCCACTGCTCGGCTCGACTGCTCTTCAGGTCTCTTGAGCATCACCTGCTCTTCAAATCCGCTCCCAGAGCCACCTTGCTGCGGCTGAGCTTTGCAGCCTCCCACTCCGCCTGCCATGACTGCTGAACACAGCTGCACAATGCCTCAACTTTCGTCGAAGTCCTATGCCCATGACCAAGATCCCATGACCATGACAAGGATGCTGCAAATGCTGCTGCCAAGAGACGAACAAATGATCAAATAGTACAAAAATAGACGCTGAGCAGTGTATCTCTGCAAGATGGGGCATGTGAAGAAAGCACTAGTTGCATCAGTGCAATGGACAGGTCGGACAGGGTGGAGGGCTCATGAATGCAAGCCATTGCATTCTGCTTGCTTCTCAATGCGCACATGTCCCACATCCACCGCTTAGATTTGTCTAGGGGCAAGGTCTGCGCCACTCAAAGCATGGAGGTGTTGAAGTTGAAAATGACAAGGCATGGTATGATAGTATGATTATGATTGTGAAGCAGCTGCTTATGGCCAGATTTCAACAACCCATGTTGATGATCTTTCTTGTGTGCTCTCATTAAGTTGGACTTGGGAAGCCTGTATGCCACAAGAACACCTTGGCATCCGTATACAGTACACCTTCCTCCACATCTTACGCGTCCGTTCTTGCTGAGTGTCATTGGTAAGAAGGGATCAACATCGAGTGCTGGCACTTGCAGAACACCCACTACATACAGTGGATGAATGAGAGCAACCGCCACTACTCTGGCTCCAGGAAGTATATCTCGCGTAGTGCAAGAGATGCAAAATGTATTACATAGCTGATGGTACACCTTTGCACACGCGTGTCAAAAGGAACTTCGATGCTGTTCTCGCGGAGTGAGCAGTGCGAAGAGGCACAGTGGGCAAAAGAGATCTGCTGGCCACATGTTGAGGAAGCCCGGAAATGACGCATCGCCCTAACATAGCCCCGCAACCAAAGCCTTCCTTGCACACTCAAATCAAAACGCGCAGCCTACGAACCCTCGACAAGCCGCTCTTCCACTTTTTTACCGTGTCTAATTGTGACATGTGTTACTGTAGTCCGTTGCTCCTACACTGGAGTCCTGACAATTGTACTGGACAAATTCACAATGTGTTGATTTTGTCTTTTGATCAAAGCTGAACATGAAAATCTCTGCCTCCAATAGCTGAAAATATTGGACCAACTATTCCAACGAGCCATGGTGCCTCGACTTGCTTTTGTACCAAAAGCCATTGCTTCAAGTCATACACCAGGCGCTCCTTGCAGAGTGCAATACTCTGATCAAATCGAGTTTCACCTGTACAAGAATGAACGTTTTGCATTACGAGCCTCACACCAACATGTCTGCATCTGAATGCTTGTGCTGCCCATTATCCACTCATGTAGAACTATCCTGCGTGTGGGCACTATCCAAAGGCCCTAAACTTTTAGGAATGTGCCGCTGCTTCGCCGCCGCTTCGACGCTTCGCCCACTACGCCTCATGGCCCCGGAATCCGTCCAGCTTTGCCACGCACCTGAGATCTGCACAAAAAAAGAATTAAAAACATATTGAAAAATCATGTGGCCCTGAGTAGAAAATACCTGTTGTTCTCTGAGATGTCTCGTGTCCGGCGAAAGCGGAGACATTGAGTTGAACAGCATGCTAGCATGGCCACCACATCAATTATGTGGAAAGTAATTACACCTTTGGAAGTACGATCGAATCAAGCAATGACTTTTGGGCCATGATTGAATATTTACGTCCTCCCAGTCCTGCCCTCGGTCGATTTGGTCTAGCCTTTGATTTCGGTATCCTGGAGTCTTCTTCCTAAATTGAGACATCTGGGCATCTGTATAGAAAGACATCTGGGCATCCGACTCCTGCATAGAGCGCCTGAGTGTTGCGGCAAGGTCCTTCGCTAAGGCGAACCGACGAGTCCGACGAGGCATGTCAAATGTTGCAAAAGGCTCCCAACACCTGCCACCCTTGCCACTGGCTCCTTCCACCGGTGAGCCTCCTCATGATCCGCTTGAAGCCTACACACAGCACAATTTATCCAAGCACGAAAAAGCTGGAGCTGGTCGCTCACTGCACACAGTTTTCAGCAGTCTTGCTGGTTTTTTCCAACAAGCAGACCTGACAGCCCAGGGCAAGTCCTCCTTTATTGAGGGCTTTTCATGAGCGCCATGTTTTTGATCCGCTTGCAGATTTCAATGAAGCAAACTGCACATCGCATGCGGATGTAAGGGAGGCTGTTGAAGCCTCTTCGCTCGAAAATAGCCATCCAAGTTTACTTTATAAGTCTATTCCACCAAATGTCAAGATTTAATCATTTGCATTGAGTCTGCGAATCCAGCTATCGTTGATGACCTCGCCAAACAAGCTCCTGTGCCGCATTGGTCACTGTGTGTGTGTGGACCAAGCTCTTGAAGACTTGCAAGCATTCCAACATGGCAAGACATTGCCGTACAGCAGAAAAGGTTGCAAAGCTGTTAAAGAACGTTCCACATTCTACAAGCTGCTTCCTCAATGAGTTTGGTCGGCATCAACATCGCTATTGGTTCGGCCACAAGAGAAGACAAGAGGAGGACAAGACCCAGCCACAGAGTTCAGGGGCGCGGCCAGTCAGTGTGGACAGCTCTTTTCTTCTATATAGAACCCCAACAGTAAACTGTTTGGGGAATCATCTCCTTGTCTTTGCTGTTCAGCACATCTCCGAGGCAGTCGAACTGTGCAAAGGCCAGGTCAGTCGACGTATCCGCACCTGGTAGGAAATGACTGGAAGCAATTGGCATCCAAATATCACAGTATATCATAGTATCAACCTTGCCTTCCGCGCTTGGGCGCAAGGTAGGCTGAGATACAGCCTTCGCCATTTGGGGAGCGCTCCTCACTATCAGAAGCAGTCCAAGCCGAACTGGCAAACAAGAATAGTGCCAGAATAGAAGACAGGAATGAACAACGAGCCGCATGATGCCACACGCCCTTGACTACTCCCAGATTTGTCCGATCTGTGAAACGTCGTTCTATTGCTTGAAAGCCAAGCAGCTGCATGGCTCTTTGCAACGCATCATTTAGAACACTTTCTGGAATCTGGTAAGCCTCATCAGTTCGCTGATGTGTTCATCAGCATCTTTGCTCTCAACAGTCGACTGGACACTGAAACACCGAGTGCCTCCGACAAGGACTGTAGCAAAGTTTCAGAGGCTTCTTCCGACCTCAAACTCGCGATTTTTTTGCCCGCTCCCCCCTCCCTACTTAATTAAGTATGAAGTAAGGGAGAGGTAGCTAGTAGCTACTAAGAGCATGCACGCAGGATAGCTCACGCTTCTTCAAGGAAGCTACCCCAGGCTGAGGTCGGGGGGAGCTTCCTTGAAGAAGCGTGAGCTGTCCTGCGTTGGTTTCTAGATTTTTTGGGAAACTTAACCAGACATGGTCCAAACTGCCGTGACCGATCGCACTGCCATCGAGCTGCTTGGAGAACTTGTCGGTCTCAGCCTTCCGTGACTCCAAAACTAGAGTTTTTCTTGACAAGGAAGGAAGGGAAGCCAAGGGATAAATGATTGCTATACAGGCTATGCGGCTATACATCAGAAAGGTCAAGTTCTCTTCGCCTTCTCCTTCGCTTCCTCGCCCCACTTTGGGCGATCCAAGGTTTCTCGTATTAGTCGTGGGCCAAAGGTATTCAGCAGAATCATTCCAACAACCTCCACATGTTGCTGAAGCTAATCAGCCCCTTGTGTAAAGTCTATCATTGAAAGACTTGAAACCATCAACAATCAAAATGTAGCAAAACAATTTGAAAATAGCTGTTGCTCTTAGGTTCAGACAGACATAGTGCATATGTAGAGTCTGGCCTCATGTCGTTTCGCGGAAAGTCTCCCTTCATCCTGTCATTTGTCATTTCCTTGCAGTTCTTCTTCTCCCCCAGACGACAAATTCAGCAAGTGGCTGCAAGGAAGATGAAGTTCTGGCCTCAGGAATGCAAAGGAGTAAACAACATGGAGCGCCTCAAGTTCTCAGAGGAAAGGAGCTCCAGAGCTATTGCATTAGCCAAGTTGCATCCAGAGCTATTGGGTAGTCTGCTAAAGAACTGCCTGTAAAGGCTGGCTTGCTTTGTACATGGATCATTCATGGATGTCTGAATCTGAAAAAATGTATTGACATCACATCATCACTGGAATCACAGAAATCCTCAAAGAGTCTGCTTGTAATTTGTACCCACATACCCATGCTTGCCTAGGGTTCAACTAAGACTGAGGCTCCATATGCCCACTACTATCTGTCACCGAAGCGATGCAGAAGTGATGCAGTCAAGAAGCCCTGTGATAGGAACTTGCCCTAGCGCTCCCTGCCGTGAAATGTTGCAGAACTCAGCTTGCTCAAACATTTACTGTAATATATGACAAACGTTTGTGTGTGTATGTGTATATATATATATATATCCCGTTCTGTAAATATATGAGAGGGGCCTGTTGTGGGCGGCAGAAAATTGAGACAAATGTGTTTGTTTTTTGCAAATCCTAAATGACATGAACTCAGGAATGAACAGATTGCACCTGTAAGCACATATTGTTTCAGGAAAAACAGTAACCAAAATTAGAAAAAATAGAGCTGGACATGGGAATAAAGTAAAAGGGAAAGTATGACAGTACTCTAGGAATAGAAGATGAAAAGGAAACAAGGAACAAAGGATGAACAATTCCTTTCCTCTAAAAAGGATAAATTGATATAATGTCTTGCATGTTCCCTTTGAACAATGACGTTGCAAAGGAAAATGAAAGGAATTGATCATGTTTAAAAGCAAAATAAAAAGAACCCATCTCTTTTTAAAAAAATGAAAGGAATTAGTCCGGTTAAAAGGACAAAAACGAAATTATCCCGGCAAGAGACCCCAAACAGTGTGGAGTGTAAATCAAAGAGTCTTTGGGGTAAAGGTAGGAGCGAGCGAAAAACAGAAGTAGAGAGAGTAGCACCCGCGAGCAGCAAGTAGTAGGAAGTAGATCCGGGGAAGCATCCGCGAGCACTCGGGCGTTATGAGTGTAAGAGGCGAGAGGCATAGATGTCGGGAAAGCGGTTGAAAGAGCGCACACACGAGAAAAATAAAAAGGAATAATAAAGGAATAAATGTTTAAAGCAAATAAAAGGAATTGATCATGTTCAAAAGGAAAATTGGTGACCGGACGTATTGGCTTCCTTTCTTTAAAGGTCTTTTAAAAAAATAGAAAAAAAAAGATGTGGCAACCAGTCCAGAGATCAGACTAGCTGTGGAAACATTGTTTCTTATGTTTTTTGCGTTTTTTGTTTTTCATAAGAATTCAGATTGAATAGTACTTCCTGAGAAGTCTTGCTGTGAAAACTGTTGCTTTGACATTAAGTATGATAAATCCAGATTCATCTGTGCTTCTAGAGTGCAGCAGACAAACGCAACCAAATACAGGCACACGTCCTCTCATGCCACGCATGCAGCAAAGCCAGTGGTAAGCTGTGGATTTGGTCAAATTCTGCTCCAGTATATAATATATGTCCCAAGCGTCTCAATTTTCTGCCGCCCACAACAGGCCTTTCTGATATATATATATACGCGTGTGTAATTGTTAAGGCTATTTATATATATATATATATCTGCTGATGACTTTCTCTTGACATCCAAAAGAAGCCCTGTGACATACGCCTGCCTGGATAGTTGCTCTGGGCAAAACGGATAAAAAGCCTCTGTCCAGGACACTTTAGGAAACAGCAAACCGCCTCATTTCAGAGTCCAAGCAGCAGAAAGTTGAATCGACAAGTACCATAGAGTTGTGGAAAGGATGACCTGGTCGAGACACTAAGTGCACAAAGTGGACCAAGTTTAGGAGAAGCTACAACCTTGGCAAAGAAAAGTGAACTGCACGAAAGAATGTGCAGCATTGCCGTCTCCTGGCAGATCCATAATGAGAATTCCATTGATGGCCAGGAAAATCCCCGCAAAGCGCGCGATAAGCCCGCAAGCCAGCATGGGAAACCTATTCAAAACCGAAACTTAATTTCAGTGATTAGAGAACGTCCACAAGGTGCTGACAAACCTCAAACATCAAAAACAGTGTTCTTTCCATCCATTCAAAAACGTTGTCGCCAAGCCGCACATGACGCCAAAAGACAGGGAAAATATCCAGTGTGGTGCGGCTTCCGATCCTCAAAAAAGGTGTGAGCTTCCGACCCTGAACTTCCAGACCTGGCTTGTTGACCTGAAGCCGGGATAGGCTTGCAGCCACGCCGCATGCTGAACAGGATCAGCTGGCCAAAGATCCACACGCCGCCCATGACTCTCTCCACCTCATTTTCGGCTCAGAGCGGCGAGCCAATTTCGCTGCAGTTTGTTTGGACAGAGCAATGAACTCCATGTAAACAAGACACCTGATGCACTTCTGCTTCTGATGCCATTGCTGAAAAGAAGACCCCTGTCATGATGACCATAAGTTCCTTGGTTGCATGCTTGTAGCAAGATTACTACAAATGTTTGCATCAAAAGTTTGTTACCATATATGGCTGGTCCTACCAGTACCTTCATTGGAGCCAATTTCTAGTGGGTTGGGGGCGTGCAAACCGCTTACGAGTATGAAAATGCACAGCTTGCTGACATCCAGAAATGATTTGGAATGATACACTTCCTCGTCCAAATTCACCCATGAGTCTGGCTGGAACATCGCACCACTGATGAAGTTCATAGGCACCTCAGCCCAAAATGGCGAACTCTTGAGGACGGAGTGCTCCAGGCCACAGTATATAATTGCAGTCTCGAGTAGTTCCGTAGGTAGTATCGTAAAGTTTTTGCAGAAATTTGCAGCAACTCTGGCGTCTGCCGTCTTCTAGCTGCAGGGCATGGCACGAGCACTGAACCGTCGGAACCTTGAGCTCCGAGGGCGTAGGCCACAAGCGCGATCGACATGATCATCAAAAAGGCCTGGGAGAGTGGAGCTTCACAAACAAAGCGACCAGAGTGAGAAAACACGACCAACCGACTCGACCGATCACATCAAATAAAATCCAATCATGATGACACGGCCCAATTTGTGAGACAATCCTTCTGCTCTGCAAGTTCTCACTCTTCCGAGCAACTTCCACAGGAGCTCCAGTCAAAACCTGATTTGCGAAGGAACAGGAAAAGGATGACAAAGAAGAAATCTCATTCGCGAAGGGCGAAGAGCCTCGCCTGCTTTCCATTGATGCTCAAACTCCTCCTTCGAGATATGAGCCAGCCTGCACTTCCCCCAAGCACAGCTCCGGCAAGCACTGTCACAGCGATGCGGAGAACCTGAGCATCCCCGAAGTGGTTCCAATGGGAACCGCTGCAAGACGCTCTGCAAGACTCTTGGCAAGTCAAGTAGTCAAGTAGTCAAGCAACATTTCCAGCTACAAGAGTTGCAACCTGTACACCTGATGAGGTCGGTGCTGCAAAACCTTAGCATGACACGGAAAAAATACAGTAAAACACTGTGAACAAACATCCGGTGAAACAACACGGTGAAACGGGACATCAAAGTACCACGCTCAATCTCCGTTGCTCTTCTTCCAAAACTAAGCTAGATCAAGTACCGTAAGGCCTCCACCACTGAGGACTCCGAAGAGGCACAGCGCGAATGACGCTTCCAAGGGCGCCCAAGTAAACATCAAACGCGGCAGTGGATGCCTGTCAGTCTGGATGATGAACGACCCAGCAAAAACGCACAACTTGCCCCACTGCAGTGCGTTGCAGCCGGGCCGCCCCTTGAATAGGAAACCAAACTCTTTCATCTTGGGTATCACAAGGCCATCTCCAATTGCAACCAGGATGGTCCCTAGCCTCACCAAAGGCACCAGGATGTAGACAGACGAGGCGGCGCAGCTAGACACTCCCTCGACAAAGTGTTTTGACGAGGCACACTAATCCCTCCATCCAGGAATAGTCGAGAAGAAGACAGGCATACCTCATAGTCCCATAAGCTCGGGAAAATGTTCGCGTGTGTGGCCGTCTACAACTGAGGATTCTTGAAATTTTGTATAGCCTAAATCTTGAATCGCTACTGCAAGTAGGTTCATGCAAACTTTCAGCATCTACTTGCACACACTTACATATTGTGCCAATAAAAGTAATTGACATTAAAGCAAAAGATGCAATGATACAATCAAGTGCAGGTTACACAGCAATTGCAACAAGCTCGAAGGTGGCGGGTAGAAAGGCCATAACGAACATGTATGTCCTGGTAACGGCTGAAGTAGTCATACAATTTGTGGCTTGTCATGTCAAAACTATGTTTCCTTCCCCAAAAGGACATTGGAACGAATGGGGCTGTACTTTTCCCTAGGCTTGACGAGGGCCCACATGCCTAATCAATCCTAAACTGTCTGCTCAAGGGCAAAGCATCCAGCTTGTCCGGGAACAATCAGCAAAAGTTGAACACCTCAAAAGCTTGCACTTGTCCCACAAGTGGTCCACTCTTGTTCGATAGAAGTACTTTCCATTCGTCTACTTGAAACCCCTTGAATCCTATGCGGGAAATTTGCCATCCCCTGGGAACACGGCCCACCCCACATCTGTGTCCTCAAGTCTTTTAATCGAATCTCCAAGCCAGCCGTGAGCAGCACCTTCCAAGCGCTGAAACGCTTTATGCTTTCACCGAGTGCCTCGCGTTCACCGCCCAAAGCCAACATATCGACGAGATAAAATGGACATATATATATATATATGTCAGCAAAAACGTGGCAGGGGACAAGGAAAAAGGACAACTCTTGCAGCTCATCACGCGCCGAGAGCAAGTCCTTACGACAGCACGCGCCGGTCAAATTGCGAAGACTCTCGACGGGCACCACTCTTTCCATGTTGGCTGCATCAAGCATGGACCCCCATTTTCAAAAAGCTGCCAAGAGTCAGATTGAAAAAAGTAAGAGAAGGCAAAGCCCACCAGAATCACCTCAAGTATTCAAGCACCAAGGCAGCCGTGGCTCAAAGGAAGATGTCTACTGCGGCTCTGTCAGTATTGACTGCTTTCAGCAAAGATGCTCCGACCGAAGGAGGTAGCCCTGCACAAACAAATACCGTTCTCACCAAATATCCGACCTTGCAGGCATCAAACCCAAAAACAGCAAAACAGAAGGATTGTCAACAGTTCATCCCTTCAAAAGCATCTTCTTGCCAAGATGCCAAGAATAGATAGGCCAAGCCTTCAAAGTACAAGTTTGACAAAGTGTAGGCAAACCCTTGCCTTCTTCAAGCCTTCGATGATTGAAAAAATCCAAGAAAATCCTACTGTACATAATTACTAATTTGATGCAATGCGCGTCGGAATGCTCATGGTCATGTAGAGAGAGAGAGAGAGCGGTCACCCGTGGCCTAGCTGAACTGGGTAGTAGCAAGCTGTTGCATTGAGCGTGACGTCTGTCTCAGGCAAAGGAGAAGCATGAGCAACGTTGATGACCTTAATTGGTCAGGACAAGGGGAGTGGTTCACGCATAGTCTCGCTCTCTCGCTCTCTCGTTTTCCTTCTCTTTGGGAGTTGGTCACACTTGGTCCAACAAGGACAGGGCATTGCTGTGAAGCCTAATAACCATGGCAATCCATGGCAAAATCGGTTCGCTATCGAGGGGACGCAACTGAGAGACTGAGAGCCACCAGCAACGAGACAGGCAAGACACTTAAGACAAAGCAGATCTGCAAACCTTCATGGAATCCGTCCCTTTACTATGGCTGGAGATCCTAAGGCGTCGCTGTTGAAAGAACACTTAAAACAAAAAAGAATCAAAAGAAAACACACTACTAGTAGAAAACACACTAGCAGCAACGGCATCGCTACTAGTAATAGCAAGGGAGTCGCTACTAGTTAAGTTTCCCCAAAAATCTATAAACCAAATCATTAGTGCGAGCGCTATCCTGCGTCCAGTTACTAGTAGGTTACTTGTAGGTACTAGCTACCTACCTAATTTATAGCTACTCCTACCTCTACCTCTAGCGGCCTACCCCCCCTTAAATTTAAAAGAATACTGAATTCCAGGTCTCTGGGGCCTGGCTGGCAGAGCAAGCTTTGCCTCTTGCGAATGCCCATTGTCTGTCCAAGCCTCACAATAAATCCTCTTGCTAAGTTAAGGGTCTATGTCTGTGCCATTGAAGAAATTGAACCATGGAAAAAATATTGATATTTGATGATAATTACGGTGAATGCGTGCATGAGCCACATTGCTGTGATCCCTCCCAGCCTTGTGCCTTTGCTCTCGGTCTTTCATCAAGCGTCGCTGCTCCTGTTTCCACACCCCATTGTGACTGAGCATTTCTCTTGAAAAGCTTCCAAAACCCTCACAAAGACTACTGTACTCAGATACTCAGACTCTGAGGAAGCTCAAGCTTCCCTTCCAGTCCTCCTGCTGCATATTCTGCTCCATCTCTACCGCTTGTGTCAAGCGCGACACATGGTCATCCAATGCAAACACCTGTGAGGCTGGGGAGTCAACTATTGTGGGCTCGGAACTGCTGATGGGCACCTGCAATTTCAGACCAGCATCAGCTTTGGCATTCGCGGCCTGGTCGACGCAGTTATTAAAAATGGCAGTCAGAACCTTTTGTGCCGTAGACTCTTCCTCTTCTGTGATACAGAGTCCATCCCCTACTTTCCCGAACAGAGTCATATTATCACTGCGTAGTCTTGTTAGGTGACGTACAATGTCAAAAGTGTGAAGTGTGCTTGTTGACATGGCCAAGGTTGTGCCTGTTGAGCAGTGAAGGATGCACGTTCCTCACGTCGCTCATGCAACCTCAGCCAACAAGACCTAAGTCTTGCAACCTCATCCATAGTGGGTGGGCTGAAGATGTTTCTCTGTAGAGAACGACATCGGGTCAGCGTCAGCCAACATCTGTAGGGAACGATATAGGGTCTCCGACTCGCAGCGCAACTGAGCAGTTTCCTCTGCTCCTCGTGCTGCAGATGCCTTCTCATTGTAGAAATCTCACGTCGTGTTGTTGTTTTTCTATTCGCCAAGTCTTTCGCCTTCGCCTCTTCCAGCTCTTTGGAAAGCTGTACAACCTCAAATCATGGCAGAATCCCCCTTGTGTGGGAGAAATCATGAGAAATCTCTTGCTGATGGGCCTTTTCTTCTAGGCTCGTCGATTGGCCTTTCAGTATGTGCACCTCGAGGTCGGTGGGTCGGGTGAAAGATGCGGAGATCGTCGAATTGTTTGTTTGCAATCTGGCACAATCGGAAGGGTGGTTTCCCCGACGTCTCAAAGTTTGCCTCCTCCTGCAGCCAATCGCGCTCGCAGCTCAGCATGGTCAATGCTGCCATCCTCTTTGATGCTACCTGATATTGAAAAATCACATCAAGCATTTTTTTAAAACACATATATAGCACAAACAGGAGAAGCAACTTATTTATGGGCCTCTGCATTTTGCTGTTTGCCTTCCGTGGTAAGTTCAGCTGTAGTCCCCTGAAGCCTGCACAGGCACTGTCTCTGGCTTGGCTGTGCAAACTCAGCTGCTCGTTACAGCCACCTGGACGAGATCTCTGCAATCTGGTTCTCCAGCATGCGAAGCTCGTCCAAGAGTGCTGAACAGGAGGCCAACGCAACCAACATAACATATCACAGTGACTGGTGAATGTGAGTTCAACAATCTGCCTTCTTCTTCTTGAGCATTCTGTCGAGCTTTCTCCTGAAGCACTGCAAGGGGCGAGCCACAAGGCCAACCCTGTGGAGTGCCTTCCGCCTCTCCGGGCCTCCACTTCCAGCCGCTGGGCATTGATTCGCTCTTTCTCCTGGAACTGCTCTCCAGACCACTCCAAAATGCTTTGGGATCCAGTCCTCTTCGAACTTTTCTCGTGCCATCGCCAACTCTTCGATTTCATCCATACCAGCCTGTGAAACCACTGGAGTTTGAGGACTAGCCTCACTCTGCGACAACGAAGAGTGGCCAAATCTTCTCACTAACTTTATACGATTCCCAGGCTCCGGAGACTCACTACCTTCCAAGTCCAAGCCTGCGTTCTCGCTCTTGGACGCCTCAACGGTGAAGCTGCAGCTGCAGTCCTCCAAACACACACATATATATATATATAACAATTGGCCAAATGAACTCATGACGCTGGTCTGGGAGATGCTAGCCTGGGTCCAATTCTAAGGACTTTCGGTTCGCTTGTTGATATGAAGCGCCATTATCGGTCGGATCAAGGGTGCTGTACTATACAGTTGGACGCTCGTCAAACTATTGAAGTGGCGAGCAAGCATGGAAGCACTGCCTCATTGCCTCACTCGTGGTGATTGCTGCTTTCTAGCAGACTACACTAGACGCTGCCCTGCATGTGAGTGCCAGAGTCCAGAGGCATTTGGCAGCCATGCTGTCCACACTTGGTTGCTTAAACAAGCTTGTGCAACTACACAGTGCACTTGGTGCATCCAAATGTGCAATTGCGGACGATCATTGGCCCAGCTTGCTTCTCATCCATGTCACGATTCGGTTGTCTGACTCTTTGGATTCTGGTAAGAATGCAGTGCACCATTGGAAAGCATGGGGCATGTAAGGCACCTCATCAACCACGACCTCCACACCCACGTCCTTTGCCTGACATCAGTGAACCAAGCACAATGCGCTTTGCTTTGTTTGAAACACACGTCGTAGTGTAACGCAATGAAACCTCAAGAGCAGCTGTTACTGGTTGATCCTACAACTATGGAGGGAGGTTAAACCACTGATATGCCAAAGGCCAAAAGTTCTGTCACTGTGAAAGCGCTGCGCATCTCAACCAGGCCTTCTGGATGAGCTCATAGTTCTCATCAATGCAAACTTCGTGCTTGGAGACTGAAATGTACAAAGGGCACAAACCCTTCATGTCATTGCACAGTGGAGAGACTTTCTTTCGAAGCTCCTCCCCTCCACACATATCGCCGAGCTGCGGAAATATGAACTCGAACACACGCTGAGTCACGACCTGAGTCGATGAACACGGTCGCATGATGTCCCATGGTCAAAGGAACTAACGAATCATTTCTGAGATGTCACGTATGTGTATATATATATATATATGTATATGCAAATATTTATGTATGTTTTTAAGGGGGTGGGCCGTAGAGGTAGCTAGTAGTAGCTAGGTAGCTAGTAGCTACAAGTAACTACTAGTTTGGACGCAGGATAGCTCACGCACCAATGATTAACAAATTGATTTAATTCTAAATTAATCGTTTCTTGTTACTAGTAGCGATGCACTTGTTTCTACTAGTTTCTTGTTACTATGGCTTCTAGGTTTTTGAGAATGGTCCGCTACACAAGTCCCAGCTCGACGGGCCCAACGGGACGAACAGGACCAACCGGCCTGACGGGCCGACTCTCGACGGGCCCTCCATGGGGTACATATAGATATATATATATATATGTGTGTGTGTCCTCATATGTATTCACAAGCTCGATATATGGAAAAAAGAAAGTAGAATACATGTATTTATAGATATGTTTTGACATTGACCTATATATATATATATGTGTGTGTGTCCTGAACTAACCGCGACAGCCAATGAGAAACATCATCTGTCATCTGTATGGCCAAGCGCTCACATCACAGTGAGGCTGTCTAAGGATAAGTTTTTTGCTTGCTATTGACAAGTATTGACACGAAGACCGACTGTCGACATGAAAAGAAGTCATGTGTATATGGTTGTTTGAGAGCCAGAGCACTTGCTAGTGATTCAGCGAAGACACGGCGTGAAAGAGTGCTGACCCATTCATGGAGGCGACAGGTCGCGGACCCTCGAAACAATGATTTAAGGGCTTACGCCCGACAACCGGCCAGGGGCGTTGAGGTAGGCTGAGGGAGTGGATGTTGGGCGGGCTTGGGGCTATGTTGCGCACAGCTTGGGTCTAGCTTAGGCCATCTGGAGCCTTTGTTGCGCGGTCTTGGGGCTATGTTGAGCATAGCTTGCGTCTAGCTTGGGCCATCTTGGGCCCATGTTGGCTCAGCTTGAGCCCACGTTACCCTAGCTTGGGCCCATGTTAGCCCAGCTTGGGCCCATGTTGGCCCAGCTTGGGCCCATGCTGGCCCATCTTGGCCCCATGTTGGCCCATCTTGGACCCATGTTGGCCCCTTCTTGGGCCTATGTTGGCCCATCTTAGGCCCATGTTGCGCCGGGGGCGTAGCTAGGGCACATTTCCACAATCTAATTCTACCCCAACGACGTCCGCTGCCCCCCCCTGACCGCCCCTGGGTCGGATTTGTGGGAAAACCTTCCATACCCCTGATCACAAAGTATGTGTTCCCTGTATTGAACAGGCATCCAAGGGATTTCTGTTTTATAGAATCACGTTCAGACTGACAGGAACAACGAGAACGACGGCACTGACAGGGCAGAGGGGGGTAGGCCGTAGAGGTAGCTAGTAGTAGCTAGGTAACTAGTATAGGGAGAGGTAGATAGTAGCTACAAGTAGCTACTAGCTTGGACGCAGGATAGCTCACGCACTAATGATTTGGTTTCTAGATTTTTGGGAAACTTGACAATTCTTGGGCCACCGAACACCTGAGAAGCTGCAAAACGAAAGCCAGCGCTTCCCTTTCTCGACAACTGCGCGTCGAAGCAATCAAATGAGCTCGCGCACGCGCTTGCGGCCGCGTGTCAAATCTGCTTCATGTCTTGTTCTGCACACACATAGGTAACCATGCAAAAGCAAACTAGACGACGAGTGGCCCGAAAGCATTTTTCATCATGTAGGAAGTCAGAGTGCGAGTTATCCGGTAAGTGTGCGGTGTGAAGTGTTACGTAGGTTTCCTGCTAGTAGCTAGTAGCTTAGTGGCTTCAGCTAGATGTCCACACGGCATGAACATGTGAAACATGTGACGTGAACGGGTCATGGAGATTCTCGGTTGCGGAGAGCGTGCCCAAAGTGGAGAGATAAAAGGTGCCCATCATGATGTTCGATGATCTAGGTTATCGACATAGGTGGAGTGGAGTTGATTCGGCGAAACGAAACGAAACGAAACGAAACGAAACGAAACGCGAAACGAAACGCGAAACGAAACACGAAACTAAACGAAGTCGAGTGAGCTGAGGTAGTGTGTGGGTTTCTGTGCGTGTGTCTATGTCCGTGTGGAAACGAGTCTGCGTATGTGTGTGTTCGTGGAAGTTGAGGGAGTGTGTGGGTGTCTGTGTGCGATGCGGCCTCCCAAACCCCCCACCGGCGGCCAAGCGGTGACAGCCCAGCTCATCGTCGTGAGCATTTGGGCTGCTGGTAAGGGGACAATGGCAGCCAGCGTGCTGGCTGACCCACTTCAACTATGATGGCAGCCAGCGTGCTGGCTTTGCCATCTGGACAATGGCAGCCAGCGTGCTGGCTTACCCACTTCAACTATGATGGTA